TCCATACTTTATGGAAACAGTCTCTGAGAGGTGACTTATCCATGGTTCTGAAATGAACGCAAACTTTGAGCTCGGATCTCTTCTCACTTTTCCACACTGGCTCTCCTTTTAGTTATGTGAACCAGAGAATGGCATCATTTCAGCTCTTCACAGTGAGCACCCTCCTTACATATCCAGCTTTCCCAAAGACTTCTGACCACTGAGGCTGTAACCACATGGGTCCCTAAATATAGCAAGCACACTCTTAACTCTGTGCATTTGTTCCTGATAATTAGCCCCTCCCCCTGGAATTCCCTCCTTCTTTTTAGATTACCCACATCAGGGCCGGGTTTGGAATCAAAGGGCCCAAGCATAAATACAGACTTGTCTGCTTCTAAGCTGCACTATGTTAATAGATTCCCTTACCCTTCCTTAGGCCCTAACATTCACCTATGCAGTAGAAGAATTGGGAATAGATGGCTTCTTTTAAAAAAATGTATTTGTTTTTAACATTAATTTTTTAAAAATTCGAGTTCCAAATTCTCCCCCTCCCTCCAGGCCCTCCCTCACCCATTGAGAAGGCAAGTGAATACACGATTTCTAAGGTGTCTTCCATCTCAAAATCTAGGATCCTGTGATACTCTACATTTTCCTTTGTTCAGGGGTCAGCTCAGGCTAGCCTCTAGGAAGTCTCCCCAACTCTTCTTTCTCTCTTTTCTGAGGAATCATCAGGCAGCAGAAAGAAAACTGGGCTTGAAGTCAGAGTACCTGGGTTCAGATCCCAGCTTTATGCCTTCCTGTCCTTGTAACCCTGAGAAAGTGGCGTCATTTCTCAGAGCCTCACTGTCTTCACCTGCAAACTAATGGGGTTAGACTCATTGATCTCCAAGGTCCCTTCCAGCTCTAAACCTATGATGTCATGAAACTGACTGTTTGTGCCCCCTTTCTTCCTGCCATGAATCATCATCAAATCAGGACACTAATGAATACTCTGATGGAAGGAGTCAAATCTCACTCTTCTTGGCATACCACGGCCTAAGGGGCTGGTTCAATGTTGATGAACCCAGTTCAGGTCCATAATGGGCAATGATGGATAGGGAGAAAAAGACCATTCAACAAGTCTTAAAGATTCTCAGGCCTCCCTATGACAGAGAATAGAGGAGAATCCCCCCAAGCCTTTGTTGACATGTAAGATGGGTGCAGCTGGCCTCCCAAGAGAACAAACTAGTGCTCCTCTCCTGCTTCACCCACCCCACATGTGAAGGCAGTCAAACTGGACCTTATGAAACGTAAAGGTCACCTCCATGGGCTCCTACATCCTGGGCTCGCTGGAGACCCAGAGCATATTTACTAAGGGGAGTTTTTCTCTATTCAGCCTTCACAGGAGTAACAGTATCTCAATCTGAAGAGACCTCGGGGACCAGCTGGTCCAAAGGCAGTAGGAAACCCCTCTGCCACATTCTGGGCAAATGGGCATTCAGCCTTTGGTTAAACACTTAAAGGCTGAGTATATCATCAAGGCAGGCAGGCAAGTCTGCTTCAAGGCAGCTGAGGTTGATAGGAAGTCTTTCCTGCCATCCGGCCTAAGCCTGCCTCTTTGTAACTCCCAGCCCTTGGTCCTGGTTCTGCCCTCTGGGGCTAAGCAGGATAAAGCTAATCCTTCTGCCACAAGACAGCCCTTCAAAGAATTCAAGATGGCTCCTCCTAAGCCTCCCCTTTTCCAGGTGAAACGTCTCTAGTTTCTTCCACCAGAAATTGTATTTAATGAAGTAATAATGATAGTGATGTTGATGATGGTGACAGCTAACATTTACGTAGCACTTTAAGGTTTACAAAGTGCTTTACAAATATTATCTCATTTTATCATGGGAGGTAGGTGTTATCTCCATTTTATAGATGAAGAAACTGAGGCAGAGGTCCAATGGCTTGTCCAGGGTCACACAGCTAGTGTATGTCTGAGGCTGAATTTGAACTCAGGTCTTCCTAACTCCAAGTACTGACTCTAGCCACTGTGCCACCTAGTCATCTTGGCCACACTCTTCCTAGGTTGAACTCTAAGTTGCCAAAGTCCCTTTTAAAACATGGAGCCCAGACCTAGGTACAAAACCCTAAAGTCCAATTGGATTATCACTTCTCCTTTCTGGCAAGTCCACATGAATTATATTTGGCCTCTCTATCACACTGTTGACTTATATTGGGCTTACAATCCACTGAGGCATTTTTGATATGGACTGTCACCTAGCTACTTTTCACCCATCCTGTAATTGTGTGGGTGAAGTTTTGAATCTGTCAACAGATCTTTGTCAAGAATCTTTGAGTGTGAAAGAGAGATTGTTGACCTCAGACTCAAGGAGACCTAGGTTCTACTGATAGTTGTATGACCATGGGCACCTCAGAGGATTGTAAGAGCTGGAAGGGACCTTGGAAGCTACCAAGTCCAACTCCTTCCTTTTACAGGTGAGGAAACTGAGGCACAGAAAGGTTAAGTGACTTTCCCAAGGTTGCACAACTAGCCAGTGTCTGTGGTCAGGATTCAAACTCAGGTCTTTGTGACTCCTGTGTCCATTGTTCTAGCTACTGTGCTGCCTAGCTACCATTAGTCACTTAATTGCAAGTCTAACGATGTCCGCAGTGGGAGTCTTCAGATAACGATGAAATCACAGCTCCTTTCCTTATCAGATTTTCTATTTACCCTACAGAATATCATCTCTCTTATTTTACATAGAGGATGTAGAGCTGGAAGGGATCATTTTGCAGAGAAGGAAACTGAGGCACAGAGAGGGGAAGGAATTCTCCCTCCTTCCTCTTATTGAGCTCTTTGACCACTTCACAAGCCATCAGCAAATTCATTGCTCATCAGCACCACTGATCCAAAAACCAATCAGCTTGATTCCCCAGGAGCAGCTCTGGCCCCATGAAAAGCTTGTGGGGAAGGAGGCAAAATCAATAAAAGAAGGTCTGGGAATTCTCTGAGAATCAAATGCACCTGCGTCTCCCTGAGTCTTATTAAAATGGATATCAAGTGTTGCCTGAATTGCCTACCTGCCCAGGATTTATTGGCCTTTGAGAGGGTCTCTAGGACTCCCAAGGATTTATCTGCCAAGTCAAAGACACACTGCAATCTGATCTGTGTTGTTTATGTGTTCCCACACCAGAAGTTTCTTACTGTTGTTAAAATTGGCCTGTGCCAGGAGCCATTGCAACTTCCTAGGACCTGCACATATCAGCTGAGGCTGGCAATATGGCTGGCATTGACCCTAGGGTAGATAAGACACTTGGCAGCATAAATACCACCTAGGTCAGGGTGAATGCAATCGAGTCCCCTTTCCCATTATCCTTTGCCTTAAAGGCCATGTTTCAGCCATCCTCTTCCCACCTCACCCTTCCATCCTTCCAGAGGATGGATCCCTCGGCCCAAAGAGAAGTACTTATCTATGGTGAACACACTTTCCAGGGTTCAGATCTGACTGCCATGGGGGATGAGGGACCTATGAGAAAACATTTTTGACCACTTAGAGACTATGAACTTCTCTCTATCTCGGTGGATCCCTCAGCTAAGAGTATGCTCCCTTGTGTGAGAACCCAAGAATTTTTTGAGCCCAGGACCAAGAGAGCCTTGTTGATGGAGTCACAGATCCTGTGTGAATCCATGCAGCATTTCTCTACATGATGACCACTCATTTACTGGCTATCAATGGGAAAGGATTGCACACTTGAATTTCTGACTATATGTCTTAAGACTCTGCATAAAGATATTGTTCTTTTTTATTATTATTATTATTTTATTTTTATTTTACATTTTAACCACTGGGGATTGAAATCTTGATAAAAGTGTCTGATTACAGGTTTTAAACAGAGGACACTGAACAGAACTAAAGCTTTTCTTGGTGAGTTGTAAGCACTGTCCTGAGTGATGTCATCAAGGCCTAGTGAGGAATGGGAAGGCATTTTCTCCTCTGCAATACAAGCCTTAGAGCATTGGATTTGGTGAATGGTTGTGAGGGCTCTTTGTAGTTTTCCTGTTTGCTTTCAGTCAGACTGTCCTTTTCTGTCCATTTTCAGTGGGGTAGCCTTCTTCCCCTTCTAATACAATGCTTTCATTCTTCTATGAAGGGGTTACCAGATAACAAAGTTGTGTTTTAGAATTGTGTGCAAAATAAAAATAATTCGGTTCTGAGGGAGAGGCTGGAGGCGTCTCCCCCTCTGAGTAAAGTGTCTGAACTCCAGTGTGTGGACTTTCGACTTTCTGTCCTAGCTCCTCAGAGGCCTTTTTTTCCACTTCTTTCTAGGTTCTTGGCAAAGTTCTAGCTGGATGAGACTGGCAGATGCATGGCCTCTGGATAACTGAGGTGGCGCTATAGAGCATCAGCTCCAGGCCCAATGGTTTTCCACATGGAATTCCCCACAACACCATCTGTATTATGTTCCTAAGTGGCTCTTTTCTTTTGGCAGGAAATAGAGTGGACTGAGCCAAGCTCAGCAAAGTTTGGAACGTTCCAGATGCCTTGTTTTATTCTTTTATGTAGTTTCTTCTCCCTATTTGCTCCCCCTCCCATCTTGTCTCATTCCGACAACTCCCTTTTCCAGACTGTGGGACAGCGTATGCTGGCTCTGTGGGGATCCTGCTTTGAACACCACAGACCTCACATCTCCAGTTCCCAATAGGTCAGAGGAGAGGAGTGCTGGGAGAACAGGGGAGCCTTCAGGATGCTGGCCAAAGCCTAAAGACCTGGGGAACTGCTGAGGGAGAGAGAGAAGCCCATTGTGTGTGGGGAGGAGGGGAGTGTGAGGGATGGTGCGTCCTTGGCTTCTCCCCTTAGAGATTCCCTACTCTCCAATGAGCGCAGGCCACTGGGAATGTGCCTTCCAGACATGGGGAGAGGGCACAATAGTGCCAGGATTAGTCCAGAGTGACCCAGGCTATTTTCCTCAGATTTCAAACACAAACATGGCCCCTGCATCACAGAAGCAAACACAACAGACACCTTTAGTGCACTCTTCAATAACAGATTTAATATTTTGCCCTGACATTTAGTTGCAAGAAAGCAGACTGGTCTCTTTGCCCACCCCCCACCCCCTACCCCATTACAACAACATAAATACACCAATACGTTTCTTTTACAGCTTATAAGCAATAGGGAACATCCAAGGTCACTGCTGGGGGGACCCAGAGCCAGAGGAGGCTGGACACATAGCTTTAATTTGGACCCTCGTAAAACTTGATGAGGTCCTGCTTGTCAATCACAGTGTCCCTGACTTGGCAGAGGCATTATGCAAGGGTTGGACTTGGGCTGTGTCCTGGCTAATGCTGCAGTGGGAATCTCGTTGTGCCAGAGTAGACACATTGGTGGTTTGGGGCAGCTGCCCCAGTCCAGGGGCTGAAGTAGCTGCTGACTGGACTCATGAACTCTCCAGATGCCTGGCCCTGTTGCCTATCTCAGAAGGTGACAGCAGGCCCCCGTGGTATCCACACCATCCTAAGGCATTGCAAATGATGGCAGATGCTTGCATGCCCCACAATGCTATTGGCTTCAGGAGCCATTGGCTCAACTATGTGGCTTCCTTTTATCTGGCCTCAGTCTCTTTGTCTAGCAAATGGGAGAATGACCCTTACCCTGCCTCTCTCAGAGAGAGAGAGAAGCTCAAAGGAGATCATATGGGTGGAGGCATCTAGGAAAATAGGATGACCTCCATGGATGGAAAGGATCTGAGGTGTCCATGTTATTCTGCCCCTGAAGAGAAAGCTGAGTGGTATGTGGTGCTGGAGGCCAGATTATGTGCTGTGCTTGGCTATGGGCCAAGGATTGGCACTACAAAGTGGGCTGTTTAAGGGATGCAACCAAAATGGTCCAAGTGACCTGAAACTATACAGCTATATCATATCCAGGACCTGAGAAAGCTTTTGTACCCCCGTCCCTGGAGAGGGAGGGGATAAGAAGCTACCCAGAAGTTGAATGAGAAGGAAAAATTGAGGAAATTTCAGTCATAGCTTATAGCGACCAAACTATTAGCTGCTGACCTGGGCTAGTGGGTGGGGCAGAGAGAATACTGAGAATACAGGGTATGGGAGCTGTCCAATAAGGGCCAGATATTGACCCTATTCCTCTGCAAGGGATTCTGGGGAGGCTCACATTTGCAGAGGCCTTCCTGCCTCAGGAACTTGGGATGGTAGGCAGGACAGGGGAGGGGAGGATTGGTAGCAGGAATAGCCACAGCATTGACAGTACATGAACCAACTCAGATCTGCCACTAACCAGCTGCGTGGCATTGGGCAAATCACAGGACCTCTCTGAGCTTTAGTTCCCTTATCTGGAAAATTTTGGAGTTGGGCAAGATGATGTCTGAGGTCTCTAATTTTACTCTTAGCCGTGTGGCAGGTAGCCTCCCCTCAACTTGGTCAGATGGCCCTCTGTATGGGACCAGGAAAACCAGCTACTTAATAGGCTATAGGGTTAGGCCTACTTGGACCTTTCAGACTGAGCCGGGAATGAAGGTCCTTTTGGGGGAGGTATGTGCCTTAATGGCTGAGCCAGCTGCTGTGGACCTAGCAGAACCAATTTTGGCAGGATAGGAGGGCCCTACTCTCTAATTCTGGGGAGAATTGTGGGTAACTGGGCTCTGAGAACCTCAAATCCTCAAGACTACAGTATATGGTTTGTTTTATAAACATAACTCAGGGAACAAATGGTTATTTTGGAAAGTCATAGGTGAGTGTGGAACCCTTCAGCTTAACTTTCAGTGGGACCCAGGCAGTGCTAAGAGCAAAGTGCCCCATGGCTTGCCTCAGTAACGTGTCAATGACCCCATACCTTCTTGCCTTTTGGCCATAGAAGTAAACAATGTGATCACCTCAAAGCAGCTGTGAATGCAGCTTCTCCTGGCTTCCTCGCTTCTGAATTCTCTGGAGGCCCTTCTCTGGGCTTCTTTCTGCTTCTGGTCACCTACAACCTCCAGACTGTCTGAGCAGGAAGGGACTCTGAGGCTCTCTCAAGGATGTTGGGCGGGGGCAGCAGGGACAGTGATGAATTTGAAGTTGGAGCACCAAGGTCCGAGTCTCTGCAGCTTGCTACTTGCGTACCTTTGGGCAGCCCATTCTCCTCTTTGGCCCTTCATTTTCTCCTCTGTAGGATGAGGGAATTGGACTGGATGGCCTCTGAGGTTTCTTCTATCTCCAAATCTACGGTCCAGTGGCCTAGACCAAGGCACTCATTTGACAGATTCAAAGATCAAAGGTTATCTAATCCCATTCCCTAATTTAACAGAAGAGGAAACTGAGGCAGAGAGGTGAAATAACTTGCCCAAGGTCACAGAGGTACTGAATGGGAGAGCTAAAATTCAAATCCAGGTCCTCATTCCAAATCAGATGAGATGCTTGGGACTTGTCCAAGGTTCTATCAACCAAGATCAAGATACAACAAGCTAGAGGGAAGAGGGCACACGGGGGGCAAGGAGCCTTCTTTGCAGGTGTCTGGGTCACCCCAGGGGACAAGGAGGCAGTTAAGATCAAGCAAAAGCAAGATCTGGGAAGGGGAACAGCAAAAAAGTTACCCGACAACATTTCCAGCTGCTTCTTTTTCCCCTTAGCCATGATCGGGGGGCCCCTCCAGATCCTCATCGGTGGCCTCTCCCAACGGAAACAGGGCATTCAGAGGTACAGATAGGCGATCCAATACACAATGTTGAACAGCAGGAACGCAGTGGGAAAGAAGACGCGAGAGTAGGTATCCAGGCGGGAGATGTGGATGCGGACACGGCCTTCTCTCCAGGTGCCTCTCTGGCAATCTTCAATGCAGCAGAAGAACTGCTGGCACTCCTTCCCCGGGCAGCAAGTGGTCTCCTCCTGCTCTTCCTCTTCATCGTCATCATCATCGTCTTCTTCCTCCACTCTATCGGGGACCCAGGGCATGCTGCTAGTGATGGTGATGGCAGTGAAGGCGGGCATGCCACTGACACTAGCACCAGTGCCAGCACCAAAGGCGGCTCCAGGACCAGCACCAAAGGAGGCTCCAGGACCAGCACCGAAAGCAGCACCAGGACCAGCACCAAAAGCGGCTCCAGGACCAGCACCAAAGGAGGCTCCAGGACCAGCACCAAAAGCGGCGCCAGGACCAGCACCGAAAGCGGCGCCAGGACCAGCACCGAAAGCGGTGCCAGGACCAGCACCAAAAGTGGCACTGGCCCCAAGACTGGCACCAGCACTGACACAAAGACTGGGGCCAGGGCTGGCACTGAGACTGGTACCAAGAGTGGCACCAAGACTGGTGGTGGCAATGGGGCTGGCCCTGGGGCTGGCCCTGGCACTGGCAATGGCACCAGCACTGGCCATGGTGCTGACAGGACGCTGAAACCAAGCAGATGGCAGAGGAAAGAAGGAATGAGTTAATGCTTCCTAAGTCTTGGACTTCCCTAGCTCCCTTGCCACCACTGATTAGCTGTGTGACCTGGAGTGAGTCCTTTCTCTCCTCTGGGTTTCAGATTCTCTGTCAAATGGTGGTGGGTGGGGAGGAAATCTCCAGGAAAAGGGGTGAGAAAGGGGTTAAACTAGGCATCCCTTCTCCTCTGTGTTCTGAGGCTGCTGTTGGCTATATCTCTGAGCTAGCAGCAAAAGAACAGTTTTTTTATTCTGTTCTTGGGGGGCCAGAGCAATAGACACACAAATCTAGAATCCACATTCTCTCCAGGGCCCAGAACAGGCCAGCTCCCATTAACAGGAGCTCTAAGGAGTCCCTCCCATTCTGATGGCAATGCATTTGGAATTGCTTGGAATTAAGAGATCATTACTTAGGGCTTGGAAAGGTTTTTGTTAATACAGGGCTGTTTGATGGGATGGGATTTGTTGGAGCTGAATTTCCCTAGGAGCTAGAAAAACTAGTTTTTACCAAACTTTGGGCAAATTATTTAATGTCTACATTCAGTTTGCTCAGCTTTCAAAAAAGACAAGGAGGCCTGGAAAGGGCTCTCCTGTAGAGGACCCTGGCAAGGCCTAAAAGCAAGAGCCAGGGTTCTTCATGGGTTAAGAGATCAACATTTGAGAAGAGGAGAAACCCCTGGGGCCAAAGTCCTGCTGTATTGGATTAGTTCCAAGGAGGAGCTGGAATCCCAGGAAAACTGAGGCTCAGAGCCAGAAACTTGATAACCCGTTCTCTCATTCTCCCAAAATGGCATAGTTGAGAAGACCTATAACCCACTCCCTCATTCTCCCAAAATGGCATTGTTGAGAGGACCTCGGGAGGCAGATTGCTTAACTGAAAAGGGAATTCCCACCCCAACATAACCTTAAAAGTGGCCTCCCCAGCAGCCTCTGCTTCCAGGCCTCCAGTGAGGGCCAACCCATCACCTCACAAGGCATATGTAGCCTTTTCTATGTTGGGGCAGCTCTCTACTTCTCCCCTCTCCACCCTACCACCTATTCCAGAGGCAATGAATTCAGTCTCCCTCTAGTATCCCCAACCAGAAGATGGGACTGCCACCACCCTCTTTTTCTCTTGCTTTCAGGTTGTGGCCATTATCCAGGGGGATGGTCATGGGGTGGGTGGGGGTATTGGGGGAACTCCCTTAGAGTGGGCCAGACCTCTGAGATAGGTAGGGAAGAGCTGACTCACTCAACCTCTCATCCTTTCATGACCCTGACAGTGATGCCCTCTCCCCTCACCCCCAGCACCTGACTTACCTGCCGGGATCTTCGGGTGCTGCTACCTGCCAGCAGCCTCCTGTTGCCCACCAAGTAGTTGAGTGTGGCATACTCTATCAAGGCGGCAAAGACAAAGATGAAGCACACAGAGACAAAGAGGTCCATTGCGGTGACGTAGGAGACACGGGGGAGGTGTTTTCGGGAAATGGTGCTTAGGGTGGTCATGGTAAGCACAGTGGTGATCCCTGAAAGGCCAGGAGGAATGGTGTCAGTGGCCATTCATGGGAAGGGACATGCCCCCCATCAGGGCATAGTGAGCGAATGGAAAGCAAGTTCTTCAATGGGGAAGAAGCCTGTCCTTCCCCCACCCCATCCAATGCCAAGTTCAGGGGTGGGGCAGTCCTTAAGAAAGGTGACTATGTAGTCCACTAGTGCTCTCAGGTCAACAGAGGTAAGGGGATGACTTTGTGCTTCCAAAGAGAGAGGGGAAGAATGGTGTGATGGATAGACAAACACTGGGAGTCTGGAGACATAGGTTCGAATCCTGGCTCTGCTACCACCAGTGTGGCCTTAAGGAAATCTGGACCTCAGTTTGCCCCTCCTTAAAATAAGAGTATCGAATCAGAGAGAGGACTCATTTTACAGATGGGGAAACTGGGGTGTCTTGTCCACATTCACACAGTGAACAACAGAGGTTCTCCTCTGACGCCAAGGCTGGAGCATTTTCAAACAATCAGCCACCCTGTCTGTCTGTATAGGCAGGTTCTGCTTGGCTCTAGAGGGCAGAACAGGGGTTTCCAAGGAGCCAGAGTATAGCTGGATCCAAGGAAGGCCTTTGTTACCACCTGCCAGGGAGGTTCTTCCTTCCCTAACAGTCTATGTTCCTCTATCACTCTCAGAGTACAGACACATTGAGTCACAAAATCCTAGAATGGCAGAGATGTAAGGGACCTCAGAAACTATGTAGGCCAACTCATATCTGAACCAGAATACCTTCACTAGCAACCCTGAGTGGATCTTGAAGATATACAGTAAGGAGGAACTAGATACTTTCCAAGATAACGTATTCCACTTAATGAGCTGAGGCCTTCTCCTGTGTCCTTTGTCCTGAAAACTCTGCCTCTCTTAGTGTAACCTAGGATCACATGAATTTTTTTGGCTGCCATGTTACTCCATTGACTTATAGAGAGCTTGTGGTCTACTAAAACCCCCAGATCTTTGTGAGATAAACTTCAGTCTGGCCATGCCTCTCCCATCTTGTATTTTGAGGTTGATTTTTTTGAAGGCTTCTTTTGCTTAACACCACACCATGGGCACACTTCAGTGGACACAGTTTCCCAACCCCATCTTAGTAGCATTACTCAGTTTGTGCCATGGAAAAAGCCAACGTAACTGAGAGCAGGTCATATGTCTATAGAGCTTTCAGGTTTACAAAGTACTTCCACTGTGAGGTAGGTAGGTAGTAGTCTCTCCATTTTCCAGATGAGGCCCAAGGGGGCAAAACCACTTATTTAGGCTCACCTGGCTACTAAGTATCAGGGGTGGGATTTGAACCCAGGTACTCTGTCTCCACAACTAGTGCTTTTTCTACTACAATCACTCAAACCAATGTAGTTCACCTGGGAGAACATCAGTGCCAAGTGTTTGGAGGGAATGCAGAACTCTTAGCCATCTCACTGCTGATGAGATGAGGGATGTCCACGGTTCTGCTCTCCCAGCACCTGAGGCAGGGGATGTGTGACAGTGCAGTGCAGACATGGAAGGCCCCTGTGGAGAAGTCCTCACAGCAACGCATTCTCTGGACCCCTCTCCTTTTCACAGAGGGCAGAGATCCTCTGGAGCCAGCAATATTGTCTCTGGGGAATGGCCAGATCAGTATCAGTGGTATGATAATGCAGTGGACTTGCCCCAGAAATGACTTTCAGCAGTAGACAAGTGGTTTGCAGAGGTCACAGAATCCTAGACAGTCGGAGCTCAGAAGTTTTCTGGTCCCGACTTGTGCTGTGTGTGTGTAAGAATCCCCCTGGTTACCCAGCCTTGGCACAAAGGCCTTCCTTGGATTCAGCTGTACTCTGTCTCCTTCCACCTGAAGGGTTGGCTAGCATAATCCCAATGGCTGATGTGTATACAGTGCTTTAAGGTTTACCACAGAATCCCAGAGTTAGAGGAGACCTCGGTGATGAATTAGTCCAATTTGTACCCTGGCAGGGGTCCTCTTTATAACATCCCTGACAAGCCTGCCCTCTGGAGCCAAGCAGAACCTGCCTATTTGGAGACACCGAGTGGTGGCTTGTACCAAAATGCTCCAGCCTTGGGGTCAGAGGAGAGTGGGTGTGAATCTCCCTTCTGATGTTCACGTTGTATGACTGTGAGGAAGCTGATTCATCTCTTTGGGCCTCACTTTCCTCATCTGTAAAGTGGGGGAGCTGGGATGGGTAGCTAAGTCTAAGTCTATGATTCTGTGACCCTCGACCTTGTCAGGCTAAACTGGGAGATGCATGCTAGGGTGCCAAGAGATACAGATGGAATCCTAGTGTGGGGGCAACTGGCAGAGAATCTGGAAAGCAGGGCCCAAGTTTTCTATCCCACCTAGACATAAAGGGAAGCTACTGCATGACTTGAACCGAAGATAGAGGAAAGGGCATGGAATAGATGAGGCAGAGTGAGCTGAAAAGAGAATGTTGCTCCTGGCACCAAATGAATGCTTCTAGTTGCAGCTCTACTGTGCACCTTCAGGCAAGATGCACAACTTCTCTGAGCCTCACTTCATCTTGAAATGGGGGTAGTAATAGCAACTAACAGGATTGTTGCAAGGAGCTAATGTGATAGCATATTAAAGTGCTTAGTGAGCCTTAAAAGGCTAGAGAAATAACCATTGTTATTAATGTCGATATAATAATTATAGATGAGTTAAACAAGGTATGCAAATACAGAGTGATTGCCCAAGGTCTCAAGGCAGTCAGTAGTAGACCCAGGATTCCAACTAAGGACCCCTGATTCCATGTGCAGTATTTTTTCTCCTGCACATCTCAGAAGTCTCCTGAATCTGTTCTTCCCATTATTTTTCAGAGGAGGGAAATGAGACCCAGAAATGGAATAACCTTGCTCAAGGTCCTCAGTGAGGGGCTCAGAGGCTGCTGGTGTGGGGAGAAGTGAGTACTCCCTCTACCACCTTGGCCTCACTCCTCTTGACCTGCTTCCCTGTCTGTTCCCCTCCTGGTTTCCATGTTCCCTCCCTCTCCTTGCTCTGTTCCCATGAAATGGTCTCATTGTTCTGGCCTTGGGCCTCATCTTCCAGCTCTCCAGCCTGCCCTGACCCCAGTCCCAGCTCATATTGAGCTCCCAGCTTATCATCCCTCTTTCAATCCCTAGAACTTCCCTGCTGACTGACTGGAGAGGGAAGATCCAGGTGGCCTTGGTCAGGAGTCTGGAGGTCTTGGTCCTTGTTGGGAGCTGGGGATGGGTGAGAAGGTTGGTGCCCCCAAAGAGGAAATGGGCTCAGAGCTTTCCCATCCTCAGATGCTCTACAGGGATATAGATTTTTGATGGGCCCCTCCGGAGAAGGCCCCATTGTGCCTCATTTCCACAAAGCTACCCCAACCTCTACCCTCTCACCCATCACCCCTCTATCCCTGACACCTTGGGCCTCTGCCCAAATTCCTGCTCTCAAATGACACCTGTAGGAGAATTATTCTGTCACCCCTACCCACCAGGCCCAGGCTTTCAGGTGATCATCATGGCAATGGGGGGAGGGAGGAAGCAGTAGGTTCCTGGAAAAAATGTGGAGCAGCCAGTTAGTCAAGTGTGATGATTGTGGATAATGGCAGTAACAAGGGTGTATATGTCTGATATTGCTGCACCAATCAAGAAAGAAGGGCTGCTGTTGGGGTGGAAGAAAAGATCCATGTGAGGGCAGAAATACCATACATATGGCACAGGGCCACATGACATGTTCTAAGCTGGCAAACCTAGTGATTCATCCCAGAAAATGGGTCTGGGTGGGGAGAAGGGGTGAGCATCCTACCACTTAGTTACAAGTCCAGACTGGCTCTGTGTGTGTGTGTGTGTGTGTGTGTGTGTGTGTGTGTGTGTGTGTGTGTGTGACAGAGAGAAAGAGAGAGAGAGAGAGAGAGAGAGAGAGAGAGAGAGAGAGAGAGAGAGAGAGAGAGAGATTGGTCTATACATCTGTGATTATTTGAATGGCTTGGAAGAATTTTGAGACACACTAGAATGTAAGCTCTCTGAGAACTGGAATTGTTTTATTCTTTGTATTTGTAATTCCAGAGCCTAACAGTTCCTAGCACACAGTAGGTGCTTAATAACTGTTTGTTAATTGATTGACAATAGGTGGAGATAGCACTTTATCCATTTCTCCTTCTGTGACTGTCCCACCCGCTAAGCATTTTACCTCTTGCCATGACTCATTCTCACTTAAGGGCTCTGGCCTATGAGCTTCTCCCCTGTGCACTCTTTCTTCTTCTGCAGAAACTGCTGAGGGCTCAGAATTGGGCCGTTCAGATGTTCAACATCCAGAAAGGCTCTCTTGTCACTGCTTCCCAAATGTTTGCACCGCTCTCCAGGTCAACACTAGGACCCATGGCTGCACATCTTCTCTAACAGGCTATACGAGGAGCTGAGGAGGCTTGTCTCTGCCTGGTCCCAAAGCACACTGTCCCCCTGGACCCACAGTTCAAAGACTGACTCACTCACTTTGAAAACAGAATCATTCTGAGGGTCCACACTCCAACACCTTAATTAGCAAAGGTCTATTCCAGGGAATTAGTTTCAGGGATTGGTGCCTGGACACTCATTCTCCCATATTTACCTCCTGCTCGGTACCCAATCCACACTCAGTTCTCTTACCCAATAACTGCTCCATACCCCACGGAGCAAAAATACCCCAAATTAAAAGAGATAGTTTAAACAAAGGACCTTCATATAATGTATGCATTTGCTAATGCAAACTGTCTGGAGTAAGGATGAGTTTATACCTAACTGGCCTATGTAAGGATTCATCAATACCATCTTTGACTTCAGCAACACCATGTTGTAACCATATGAGCTCAATTAACAGTTCAAATAATTTTTAATTATGTAAATAGTGAATAGTCATAGAATGAATAATGGAAATGCAGAAATACTCCCAAAATACCCAGAATTTGGATTCGAAATTGCCACATGAAACAATTATCAAATGACAAGAAAATATCATGATGGATGCTGCTTCTTCCCTGTACCACACCCTCCCCTACCACTACCACCCTGGGCTCTTCAGCTCCAGAAGGTACCTTCATAGTAAACTGTATTCTATCTATAGTAGTTCAAGTGGGATTCCTATGAGTCAATTATGGAATCCTTGAATGTTCTAGATGGAAAGGCCCTTACAAAGCATCTAGTCCAGCTACTTAATTTCACAAATGGGGAAGCTGAGGCTCGTGGTGGGTAAGGTCATACAGCAGGTGGCAGGGCTGGGTCTAGAACTCAGACTCCTAAGCTGCTCTTCTCACTCCCCAGCAACACCCCAATTAGATGGCTATTCTTTCCCCCATGAAGAAGCTAGACTGTAGTCATGTGCCTATGCTGCACTGGATGCTCAAGGGAATCCAACTTACCCAAGGATGTCCTAGCTGGGGTGGAGTCTCTCTTGATCCAAAAGGAAACCCAGGAGAGCACCACAGTCAATATGCAAGGGATATAGGTCTGAATGGCAAAGTAGCCCATCCGCCGGCTTAGGTCAAAAGAAACAGTCATGACCATGTAATCTCCTGGAAGACACAAAGAGTTTGTTAAAGTGCTAAAATATTGGTCTAACCTTTAGTCTTGTCCATCATTTGGGAAATGGCTTGTCTCCTGAGCCTCTAAATGTTCTTAGCTGAACATATAACTTCCAGCAGAGTATTCAGACTCATAGAAGGGTAAAAAGGAAAAGGAATTAAAGACTATTTTCTCTTCCTCCTCTATCTCCTCCACCACCATAACCATCATCATCATCATCATCTCCTTTTCCTGGGATCAGAAAGGGGAGGGGGATTGCCCAATATCCCACAGCCAGATGTGTCATCTGGGTCTCCTAACTCCAAGTCCTGAGTCCTTTCCATAACCTCCCCAGCCCCCACATTGTCTCCTTCAATCTCAGCCCTCCTTGGCACTCAAGGCTTCCCTGCTAGAAGGACCTGGCTCTTTCTCCAGTAGGACTAGGCTCTATCTCAGTCTTGGTCTGTTTATTTGTCCTCAAGGCTATCCCAGCTATCCCACTGTTCATTGTTTGCTTTCCGTTACTTTGTCCTCTGGATTAAGCTGATAACTTGGACAGCTTCTCCTCCACCTCTTTTTTCTATTTCTTCTTCCTCTTCCTTTTTTTCCTCTTCCTCCTCCTTCTCTGTCTCTCTCTGTCTCTCTCTCTCCAACTGTTGGCAGAATTCTCTGTTTACTGATGTTTGAGCATATGCTTAAGACACCCTAGCCAGCTGGTCTCCAGGCAAAGTGGATGGTATAATAGGCTGGTTCTAGAGTCTGAGCTGAGAAACGGAGCCTGAAAACTCCAAGGCTGTATTTGTGTAACATCAGAACAGCAGAATGAAAGGTAGAAGATTCAGGCTGTCATTTAGGTCTGCTCACTGTTTAGAGACGCCTGGATCTATCTAGTTCATTTAAATATGCAGGTTTCAAGACAGTGCAATCAGAGTCAGAACCAGGCTATGAAAGCTGGAGCTTTCTCCCAGGTACCAGCATCTGAAGGGGGCTATGCTTCTTTGCTTCCTGAAGTTATCTGGAGACCACTATCTTCATGCAATGGTTTGAAGGGGAAGGTGGGCCCTACTGGAGGACAAATGAGTGGAGTTGCGGTTCAGCAGTAGGGGTTACCTGCTCTACCAGGACAATTGAACCTGTGGCCAAATCTGGCCACCAGACCTCGCTTTTCCAAGAGGATTTGTCCCAGATGCCTAGTTTTCTAGTTGCAGCTCTGAATCTAGCTTGATCCTTGACTTCAGTCACCATTGATTCCACAGAATCTAGATCCATAGTTTCGCAGATCCCTAGAATTTCAGAGCTGGAGGGGACCCAAAAGAGCATCTACTCCCGCTTCCTTATTTTTACAGAGAAGGGTGTTGAGGCCCAGAGGAGGGAAAGGGACTGGGAGCAGGGGAAGGCTGTTCTGGAGAGGAGAGTTTCCTGCCCATAGCTTGGAGAGTTTGGACTTGGTCCTCTCAAAGGATTTCCAATTGTCTGTGCATTATCAAGGACAGAAAAAGAACCAAATTCACTCAACCTCAGGGAGAAATTTGGAGGATCTTCATCAGTTACCTCCAGTTCCTCCACCTTTATCCTGAAGAATCAGTCCACTTCTCCTTGGGTGAATATAATCTCATTACCAGAAAACTGTCCCTGTCTGAGCTTCCAAGGGGCGCCAGAGCCAGGCCAATCGTGTAAAGAAGTACACAGAGCACGTGGATGTTGGTACTTACCAGAATGTCTCTCCAACCCCCACCTCACCACATTGGGACTACACTTTGATTGGAAGAGATACATGACAACTGCACCCCTGACATCCAATATGACATGGAGACCAAGAAGGCCAATGAGATTTTGAGCTATAGTAAGCAAGGCAGAGCATCCAGGAATAAGAGGCAATAGTCTCATGGTCCTCTGCCATGGTCAAACTACACCTGAAGTATGATATTCAATTTGGGGCTATGTGAGTACAGGCATTGATAAGCCAGAGAATATGTTGAGGAGGGTAACCAAGGGATCATTTGAAGGAAATGGGGGTGCTGAATTTGGTGAAAAGAAGGCTGCTGCAGCTGCTGCTGCTGGAGCATCACATCTGACCTCAAGAACTTGAAAGATCGTCATGTGAAAGAGAGATTGGCTAGGTTCTGCTTGGTTCTAGAGGGCATAACCAGGAGCAATGGCTGTTTCTTTGCCAAGTTAATATTTTCTTGCTACAGATAGATTTATTACCCCATTGACCTTTTCTATTTATACTTAATTTCTTCTGGGGCCAGAGAGGAATCTTTTTTTCCTTTGCTAAGAAAAGCTGAGAGATGGAAATCCTTCTTTGGGGACTGGGGAAGGAAGCCAACTCAGTACACATACTCTATGCTTCCTGGGTGGCCAGAAAAGCCAAGTGACTATGAACAAGTCATAAATGGTGATGACAGCAGGAAGCGTCACTGGTCTTGCTTCCTGGGAACTGATGTGTAGCATGTTAAACTTTCCTGCCAGACCAGGGTTCTGACTGGAAGCTTGGAGACCATAGTTCATCAGCCATAGTTTGGATTAAGGAACCAGCCTTAAGACTTTTAGCAGACACTGACTATAGACTTGGCTTCTGCTGATGGTAGATATCCTTGTATCTTTGCTTTCCTCAGCCAATGTTTCTCCAAGAGTAAGGAACATTGGATTTGGAGTTAGAATACCTGGGTTCAAATCCCTAGTCTGCTACTCTGTAACCTTGGGTAAGTAATTTCCTTTATCTGGAGCCCACCACCCTTCCAATCACCTAGGTTCACAGCCTCAGTGCCATTCTTGACTCCTCACACTCACCCCACACATCCAATCAGCTCATTTTCCCAGCTCATCCAATTAGTTAATTTTTGTTTCTATCATTACATCTCTCTTTGACAACCCCTTCTGTCTATTGACACTGCCATTGCCCTAATTCAGGTTTTCATACCATAAGAGCTTCCTATTTTGTCTCTCTGCTTCAAGTCCCTCCTGATCCCACTTCAATCCATCTTTTACATGGCTTCCAGAGTAATTTTCCTAATATGCAGGTCTGACCATGTCACACCCTTACTCAATAAACTGCAGTGGCTCACTATTGCCTCTAGGATCAAATAGAACCACCTTTGTTTGTCATTTAAAGTTCTTAACAACTTTGCCCCATCCTATCTTTCCAGACTTATCATACTGTAGTCCTTGCCACACACTCCATGGTCTAGTCACGGTTGCCTTTTTACTGTTCCTCACAACTCCCATCACCATGCACCATCACCCATGTAATTTCCACAGGCTTTTCTTGAACCATCCATCTGCTCCTGAAAACATTGTTTTTCCTAATAGATAGGCACTAAAGAGTCAGACTTGGAGTTAGACCTTGGGGATCAACCCACAGAGATATCAGGATCCATTGATGGTCTTGGCTTCAAGTAATAAGGTATTCGCCCACCTGGGAGTACAGACCTAGGAACCTAGGAATCTCCTTTCCTCCACTGTATTAAAGAAAAAGGGGAATGGATTTGCTTTTTTTGGCTATAGAGAATTCAACTTTACCCAGTTCAATGGAGAATTCATCAGAGAGTTGGGGGAGTTCAGTGGGCAGATGTCTATGACCCTGGTCATAGCCCACCGCACAGGGCCTTTGCAAGTGGTCCCAGCTCATCCCAGCTCTGAAAAAAGCCTAGTGCTCAGCATTTCCTAAGACAGAAGCCTTCCCAAAGAGCTGACCTGGCCACTTCTTTGACTGGAATGCACATTCACACAATTGCACCTGCCAATTGATCTGTCTAGGAGTCAATTGGGTGGTGTGAGAGTCAAAGTCAGAGAAAAACATGCTCAAGCTGGGCCTTGCTGAAACCTTTGGCTTTAGTGAAATATGTAGTCGAGTTGAGGGATTGGGTCCCAGCTCCAATTGACCACGTGAGGCATCTAAATGAATTAGCAGTCTCATTATTTGACTTTATTTGCAAGTGATTCTGAGGCAACCTTATCCTCTACCACTAGACTGAGTCGAGAGGCTTGCTTCCTTATTCTAACTCAACCACTTGCTAGAGGGCAAACCCCAGTGACTTGGGCAATGTTTCTCCAATGATCAGTTCCCTAATCTATATGGTAGCTGCCCTTGTGCCTTCCCAGGGCTGCTAAGAAGCTCAGAAGACATAATATTTGATATGTGCTAACAGTGAGAAGAGTGGGGGTTGTTATTATTTTCATCCTCAGTAAAATGAAAACTTGAGGGCTAGGAATGTTTTTCACTTATGCCTTTGAATCACTTTGCATTCAATTCAACAAATATTTATGTGCAAAGAATTGTGCTGGCCCTGAAGATACAAAACCGTAAAGGAAATAGTGCCTGCCCTCGAGGAGTTTGCATTTTACTAGAGGGGTACTTCATATTCATTCATAATTGAGTTGATACAGAGCATATAACTAAGTAATTCCAAGAGGGGGAGAGTGCTAGTGATCGGAGAGAATCGTCTCATGTAAGACATGAGCACCCAAGCTATGATCTAAAAGGAAGCTAGGAATTATACCAGGCAGAGCTGAAGAGGGAGTACACTTGAGCAACATGAGGGACCACTTGTCCAAACACACAGAGGCAGGAAATAGAATGTTACATATGGGGAACAGGCGGCTGGCTAGTTGGCCTAGAATGGAAAGTGAATGAAGGGTAGTAATTTGAAATTAGACTGGAAAAGTGGGGTAGGATTGGAGAGGATGTTAAACCTCAAATATGAAGGTCTTACATTTTCTCCTAGAGGCAATAGAGAGCCACTAATGACTCTTGAGTAGAGGAGTTTCAGGAAAAGATAAAGAATTCTATTTTCGATGCTGAGTTTAAGACACCTATAGGATGTGACTACTCTGGGTAGAGATGTCCAGTAGGCAATTAGTTGGTAATGGAGGATGGGAGCTCAAGAGGAATTAGGGTTGGATGTCTACTATAGACTTGGGAGTTGTCTGTGTAGAGCTACTGATAGAAGACAATCTTGTAGGTCCTTGGTCTCCTGTTTCAAGGTCACACTGTGCCCCAAGCTGCCCTTTTCCTCCACCCCCACCCTCATTTAATCAAAGTGCTTTTTAGTCTGAGGCCCTACAATTCACTTCTGGGGGGCATTGGTGGGTGGTGCTGCCCAGCTTTGTCCTCTTTCTTAGCCATGACTTGCTTTGTTCTTCTCCACTATTAACTGTACCTTGATCTACAAAATGGCCTTACCAGCGCCAGTCCGAAGGACTTCGGATGTGTTCCGCAGTCCTGTAAAGTCAAACTGGTAGAGCCTCCAGGAGCGCTGGTCAGATACTTCAATGGAGTAGCGCCTCCAACGGTAAACAATCTCTTCGGCTGGATAACCATCTGGAAAATGGGAGAGCCCGGAGACATGCTAAGGCCATACCCCTGAGAGGCTTGCTTGAATGAAGCCTGCCCAGTCTAGTGACCCAAGTTAGAGCTGTCATGTGTATTTGAGACACCTGGCACGGCCCAGGAGAGACTCTCCATTTTCCAAACATCCCAGAGGCTTTCTGCCATTGTCTTGAGAATAAGTCATGGCACTGGCCTCTGCTTGTAGAGCATTTTACAGTACATGCAAGTAGCCAAGGCTCCATTTTACAGAAAAGGAAACCAAGCCCCACATGGTTAAGTGACTGCCACTTACTCACCTTCTCACCCTGGGGCTGAGTTAGGACTTGAACTGAGGTCCTCTAACTGCACATCATTGCCCTTTGCATGATTCTACAACTCTTTTGGCTTAAAATTAGGGCACTGCTCCCTAACCCCCCAACTTGGAAGTTGGATTTTTAAGATCATTTAACCAAGAGTGAAGTGGAAGAGCTGAACCCAGTAAAATTCAGGTTATCCTTCAAATTCAATAGGTGGCCCAGGGTTTCTCTCTGTCGTTGGGATTTGCCCTCTATTATCCTGCTGCTGGACCTTCTCTGCCTAGTGAACTCTCTTGGTTACTCTCACTATGCTTTCCTTTTGGTAACTTTCATCCAAAACACCCCAGGGGAACTCTGGACAATGTGTGGGGGGGGGGGCGGTCACTACAACGACTTCAAGATAAACCATGGTAGTAGGAACAGTCAAGTTTGGCTACTCCTTCCCTAGGTCCCGGCCTCACAAAGGGCCAACCTGCTGTAACAGTCGTCATCCTGATCAAGCCCCAAGGGCTCAGTTTTGGAGTCCTGCCATTTTTCCTCCCCTCCCCTCCCCTCCCAAACAGATTGGATTGGTCCCAGGCCCAGACCCAGGATTGTCATAGAAGTGTATACTACAGGTACTCCTATCACTGGGTAACAACCAATTTGTGAAAAGACATAGAAGCCTATCCCCAACTCCCCCATGCCCACTTCTAAACTGGGCATCTGGAAACCCCACTGGTCTGGTCATTTTTCAAACCATCCTTTTCAACCTAATGGAGAAGTCTCAACCTATCCATGAAGCCTTCCCCAGCCAGTCTCCAGTGTTCTCTCCCTCTCCCTAGCTCCTCTTATATTCGCTAGCTGTACCATTTCCTTGGCACCCAGCATACGCTGCTCCCTGCTTCCTTCTCTTGTGCTATGTGAGAGTGCCTGATGTGGAGGCCAAGGACCTGAGTTTGAAGCTTGACACTGCTACTTACCACCCATGGGACGTTGGGAGAGAAACTGAACTTCTCTGGGCATTTGTTTCCTCCTCTGTAAAATTGTAGAGTTGGACTAGATGACCTCGAAGGTCATATCCAGCTCTGATACCCTCTCCTCCCCTCCCCTCTCCTCCTCTCTTCTCCCCTCCCCTCCCCCCCTCTCCTCTCTCTCATATTTTGTGTTTATTCAATTTTTCCTATGCGTTAACCTCCGTCTTCTCAGCTAAATGCCCATTCCCCAAGGGCAGATAGCATATCTTTCTCGTCTGAGGAGTCCCCACAGCAGTGAGCACAGGGCCTAATAACTGAGTAGGTACCCAAGCAATATTTGTTGCCTATCTCTAGCTGTTCAGTTCTCTGAAGTTTGAGTTCAATGGGCCTGCCATCACCCTAAAGTGATGGGTATCAAATACACAAAGATCGATTGCCGGATGTGAAACAGGCCTCATTAGAAAATCACTGAAGGCCTGAGAAATGCCCCATCATCATCATCACTGAATCTGTGGCCTGCCAAGTGAGCTTATCCCACCTCTGAGACCGCCCCCCTGACCACCAATACTTTGGAACTGGTTGTCTAGAGGCATTAGCCCCCAGTAGCTGAGACAGACAGGATCACTGAGGGGGAATTGCTGGTCTTCCGCCATTGAGGTCTGCTCAGTCTACACGATGAAACGCCAAAGGGCTTGGAAAGAAGGGTCCTGGTGGTGTGCTCCGCACAGGGGGAGGAGGCCGGTGCTGACAGAATGACTCAACAGGAATTCTAATTAATGGGAAAGCTCTCAAGCCCAGGGACCTAGGGACCCAGGAATCAGTAAGAGGGAAGGAGAGCCAAGCTAGGTGAGGGGGGAAGGGGAGGATGAGAAAAAGGATATGGGAACCTCCACAGCAGATACTTACAGCTAGAGAAGATGAGAGGGCAGGAGTGAGTGTCCATTGGGAAGTTCTGGAGCTGGAGGAGACATTCAGCCTCTATGGTCAGCCTGGAAAGGGGAGAGAGAGAGAGAGAGAGATGCCTTGTGAGCCTGAGGATTCATCCCTCTCTCTAGCCAGCATCATGGCCTCATAGGCTTCTAGCTGGAAAGGATCTCAGCAATCAGCCAGTGCCCCTTGTCATCCACACAGTGGCTTAGAGCTCTGACTAGATTAGGAGGCAGAGAAACAAGATCCAGATCCAGGTTTGGCCACTTTAAACCTGTGTAAGGTCATTTAGGCTGGTGATTTCCCTTGTCTAGACACCAATTTCCTCCTCTATAATGGGAGAGGATTGAGCTAAATGTCTCTAAGATTCCTTCCCCCCAGATTCTATTATTTCCCCCACTCCGTACTTCTAGGGCCCTCCCTGACCACCAGAGCCAGAGGCCCCACTCGGGGGTGATGACCCTGGGCTGGCCAGCTCCTTGGCCCCACTCCCTCTAGGAAAGAATGCCAAGGCCAGGTCTCCCTGCACATTGACAAAATGGGGCCAGGTCAGGTGGGCAAACCAAGTACTCTGAACTGTTGTCTGCTGGCAGGTCCTGATCCCTGAATTCTCCAATGTGCCACGTACCTAAGGGTGTAGAGGACCTTCCCGTCATTCCAGATGCGTAACAGCTGGTTGGGGGTGGTGATCCAGTGTGAGTCAGCCCTCTTAGAGTTCCGGAAAAAAGTGTCAGGGATCCAGATGCGGCTTACCATGTTGCTGTTTAGAGTTAGGGCTTTCAGGGTGCTGTTGAAGCGGAGGCGGCGGTCATACCAGCTCTGGGCAAAGAAGATGTCAATGGTATATTCCTAGCACAAAGGAAGGGAAAAAGCTCATTAGATTCCCCTGAATGGCAGAGCAGGCGGGATGAGGAGAGAAGGCCAAGACAGAAAGATGGGCTGCTTCGCCATAGGGACCTAGGAGGCAGAGCAATAGAGTAGAAAGAGTCCTGGACAGTAGCCCAGGAGGCTTGGCTCCTGAGTCTGATACTTATGGTCACCTGTGGCACCTTGGGAAGGTGATTTCATCCTCTCAGGAGTGGGGTGACCTCGATAAGCTCTGTAGTCCCTTTAAATGCCACAGCCTATGATCCTAGTCTTTTTTCTGTCATTTATTCATTTTTGTGACTTGAGAAGACACTTCATCTCTGTGCCTCAGTTTCTTCCTCTGTAAAATGAGGAAGTTGGCTTCAGACAGCACAGAAGATCACAGTACTATAGATTTAGAGACGGAAGAGATATCAGAAGTCAATAAGCCCAATTCCCTCATTTTACAGGTAAGGAAACTGAGGCACAGAAAGGTGAAGTGACTTGACCAGGGTTATAGCCTAATCAATGTCTGAGCTAGGATTTGAGCACAGATTTTCTTGACTCTGAGCCCAGTCCCAGTTGTTTCCAGGAAACCTGGGTTCTATCCCTCAGTCCAAGATTGAATGTGGCAGGAAGTTCCAGGGTCAGTCTGCCCTTGACCTCAAGGGCCTAGTCAGGGGGCACAAGGCCTGGCCAAGATATATAACATGTCATCTTCAGCCTTGGAGGACCTTACTTTGAAGCAGTTCCTAACTCACGTAAGAGAGGAGTTCAGTGGTTCAGCTCACTCCAGATACAGACATTCTTTAGGATCAGAATCACCAGAGCTGAGAGCCAGAAAAAAACCCAAGAGGACGTGCAATACCCTACATCCCTATCAGGAATCTCCTTTACAACATCTCTGAGAAGTGGTCACCTAGCCTTGACTTGTAAATGTCCAGTGAGAGGAGACCTCCCAAAGCAATTTACTCCACTCGAGAGCAGCTCTCATACTGAAGAAGTCCCACTCCCGTTATAGCAAATCTAAATCTGTCTCTCAGCAACATTCACCTGGTGTACTCCAATAGCCTTCTCAAATGGTGATGCTCCATGCCCATCACTGGCCTCTCAGCTTTCTTCATGTAGCCTGAGACGGCATGAGCTTTTTTTTTTTTTTTTGCAATTGGGGTTAAGTGACTTGCCCAGGGTCACACAGCTAGTAAGTGTCAAATGTTTGGTCTGAGGATGGATTTGAACTCAGGTCCTCTTGACTTTAGGGCCAGTGCTCTATCCACTGCACCACCTAGCTGCCTCCTGCATGAGCTTTCTTAGTGGCCATGCCACAACACTGGCTCAGCTCCCCCTCTCTTAAAGGTTTTACCTCTCACCTCGTTGCATTGCTGAAGACACTGGAGGCTAAAAAGAGCATTGAATGCCAATCTTTACTCTGCTCTTTACTACCTCTGTGAACCTGGGCAAGTGATTAAACTTCTGAGCCTCAGTTTCTTACCCTGCAAAATCAGGAGGTTGGGCTAATCTCTAAAGTCCTTTTCAGCTTGAATTCCTATGGTCCTATTTCTTGTTCATTTGTCTGTGGGTGTATGGGGTGGAGAGGAATGGGAGAAAGAGAGAGACAGACAGAGAGAGAGACAGAGACAGAGACTGAAAAAGAGGGAGGGAGATTGAGAGAGACTCACCTTCTCTCTTAGTCTCTGTCTTTATCTCCTTTATCTCTATACATGTGAGCATTAGATACTGGGGAGGATGGCTGGCCTAGGAGTGAAGGGGAGTATGGGTAGGCTGCTTTTCAAGTAGTCTTTGGTGAGACTAGAGGAGAAAGTGGTCTTGGGAAAGAGCAGAGGAAGGTGAGGAAGGAGCAGGCGAAGGCCAGTTGGATGAAGAGGCATTTCCCTGTTAGTGAGCGGACTCTGGGCTGCATTCACTGTCTCCCTGCCATACAGAATGCATTGTCTTGCATATGTATGAAATGCTAATTGAGCCTGGTGACCAATTTCATCTTCAGCATTTCTGACATACTCAACATACAAATCATGAAGGTAGAGAATAATATTCCATATATAATATTCTTCCTCTCTCTCTCTCTGCTCCTTCTCTCTCTGTCTCTCCCTCTCCCCTTCTCTCCTCTGCCTCTCCATCTCCTTCTCCCTCTCCATCTCTCTTTCCATTTCTCACTCTCTCTCTCTTCACCATTTAATGTATCTCTCTCCCCTTCACTCTCACTCCTCTCTCTGTCTTTCTTTCTCTCACCCCTCCTCCTCTCTCTCTTTCCCTATCTCTCTGTCTCTCTGACCCCTCCTCTCTGACTTTCCTTTTCTGCTCCATCTCTCTGTCTGTCTCACACTCACACACACACATAAAATTGTAATATTTTAAAAATCTTATAAATCTTACAAATAATAGAGGCAAGGGTGGACATCCCTATTATTTAATGGGAATGCTTTTCATTTCAAAATTCTCCATTGCATGAGATTTTAGCTTGTAGTTTCAAATCTATTCTTCATCATGTTAAAGAAAGCTCCTACTATTCTAATTTTTAAACATAAATGAATGCTGTATTTTATGAGAAAAATCTGTGCCCGATATCATGAGCTCTGTTTTTCTTTTCTTGTTTATTATATAAACAAGGAAAAAGCAAGGAGGCTGCATGTGACAAGAACCTAGGAAAGGACAGTCTGAGGCTCAGACAAACCCATGAGTTTTACCTGTGGTGAGAGAACAATCTCTCAGAGACACTATGGTAAACAAAAGATTACAGTGATCTGCATTATTCTTACATTAGACTCAACCCAAAACTAAATTTTTGCTAAGAAAAATATTGAGGTTGGCCACCTGCTATATTTGAAGTCAGGAGACCTGGGTTCAAATCCCAGCTCTACCTGTATGACCTTGCACAAGTCTCTTCACATCTATGGGTCTCAGTTTCATGCAATTGAACACAGGTTCTTTTAGGAGAATGTGAAGTCCTTGAGTAGCTTGGAATGGTGGATAGAACACTGGACTTGGAGTCAGGAAGACCTGAGCTCAAATCCTACGCCAACACAAAGCTCACATATCTAGAGAATTACTGTGACTATAGACAATTTATTTAGCCTTTCTAGTCTCAGTTTTTCAACTGTAAAATAAGGGGAATGGCCTCCAAGACCCTTTGTTCTATGATTCTATTAATTTAATTTCTATATCTCCAGAATCCAAAATGATGCCTGGCATATAGTAGATGTCTAATTGTTGGGGTTGTGGGAATCCTGGGTAAAGGGTCTCCCTTCATCAACCCAATAAACAAGGAAAGAGTCCTCCAATGCAGCAAGATCAGTAATTACAAGAAGGAAATTGAAAGAATGTGCCACATGGAGGAAGTAGGCAGCTGGAAGGAGAGAAAAGGGGAGAAGAGACTCAATTGCAAGGGCTTCTTGGAGTCACCCTCATTTCCAGCAGTGTGCTTGAGGACCCTCCTCCCATCCCTTTATAATCGGTCCCCTGGGTTCAGCCTATGGTTTCAACAGCTTAAGCAAGGCCACCACAATAATGTGAGGGAGAAACAATTTTGAAAGACCTCAGAACTCTGCCCAAAGCTGTGACCTATCAGAACTTTCAAAGACTGATGATGGAATGTACCTTCTACCTCTTGGTCTTAAATATATATGTCTTTGGTCACATGGAAAAGATGCTTTCCCATGCTTATGCTTTTTAGTGTTTGTCACATAAATTGGTACTGTATTTGGCCAATGGCTTTCCCTTGCATCCATTAAAATAATTAGATTTTGTGTTATAGGTTATTATGCTAATTGTTTCCTAATATTGAACCATTCTTGCATTATTGGTATGAATCCAATTTGGTCATAGTGAATTATTCTCTGACTATATTGTTGTGTTTTCCTTGCAATGATTTTATTCAGAATTATCATTAGTGAACCTGGTGTTTGGTCTTTTCCTCTGCTTTGTCTCATCCTGGTTTGGATACCAGAACCGTATTTTTCTCATAGAATAAGTTTGGCAGACTATCTTCTCTGTATATTTTTAAGAATAATAATGGTAGTATAAGTAATAACTGATCTTTAAATGTTTATTAGCATTCACTTGTAAATCCATTTGACTCAGGTTTTGAAATAGTTCTAGAAGTAGATACAGAAAAAAGATAAGAAAACAAAATTAAAGGCATAAAAATCAGAAAATAAGAAAAATTATTTCTAATTGCTGAAGACACAATGTACTTAGAAAACCTTGGAGAATCAGTAAAGAAATTAATTGAGATGATTAATAAATGCAATAAAGTAGCAGGATACCAAGTAAATCCACAGAAATTATCAGCATTTCTATTCAGTAATGAGAAAGACAAAGAAGAAACAATCATACAAGAAATTCCATTCAAAATAATGACAATATCCATAAAGTATATGGGACTTAACTTACCAAGCTACAAGCAAGATTTATACAAATGCAACCATAACATTCTGCTTACAGAATTAAAGTGTGGCAAATAATTAAATAGATGGCATGGCCTAATCATGAGAATAAGCTAATATAATAAAAATTACGATACTTCCTAAATTAATTTAGAGATTTAGTTCCATTCCAATTGAATTGCCAAGTGGACAGTTTAGAGAACTACATGAAACCATAACAAAATTTACTTGGAGGAGAAGCAAAAGGCTCAGAATCTCAGGGAAAATAATGAGAGAGTGCAAATGAAAGGGACATGGCTTTACTACATCTCAAACTATATTAAAAAAAAAACAGTAGCCATCAAAACTATATGGTGTTGGTTAAAATAACAGAAAAGTTGATCAGTGGAATAAATTAGATAAACAAGAAACAAAGGCAACTGAAATCAGTAGCCCAGTGTTTGATAAACCTAAGAGCAGCAGGGGAGGAATCCCTTTTTGACAAGAATACTGGGCAAAACTGGGAAAAAAAAGTTTGTCACAAATTGGGTCTAGGTCAGCATCTTTCACCATATGCTACAATAAGCTCAAAATGGGCAAATAACCTGGATATAAAAGGTC